AGACGTTATCGGCAGCGCCCCCCAAAATGGGCAACGCACTGGACCTGCACGGGGCTACACCCGGCCCGGCCAGGCGCAGGCCCACGTCGAACCCATTGGATTCGGTGCTGCCGTCCGCCCATTTCTGTTGTGGTTTAAAGCCCTGGTCAGTGTCCGCGTGCACCGGGGATGTGGTGGTACGCCTAGGTGCGGTTTTACGCCATGTCAACTATTTGCGGCCTCTTCCCCCTCCAGTCCAGGTGGAGAGAGAGGAGCACGGTCCATCCAGCGCAAGTCTACCATCGTTATGAACTACAGTAGATGTGCTAACTCATGAAATGTCAACCAAAATTTCGAAATGAGTTCTCGTTTCGAAAAGATAAATTAAGTAGTGTTGTAAAACTAATCATGATGCAGCATAAATCTATAATGATCCTGTTACCTCAGGGTGTCGGCTTTCGAAGGAACTTATTTTCGGCTGCATGCAAGATCTACACTCTGCAAAAAATGACTACTTAAGAAACATGCGATTTTTTCATTGATTTTCGATGCCCTTGGAAATTCAATTATATTTCGTGGAAAACATGCATAACAATATTCATTCTTTTTCTTTTTCGGTAGAAACTCACGTCCTCTTCCAATTTCATACTCAAAAGAAGAGTATAATTCGGTTTTAAAAAAGTTTCTAATTGTGAGATTTTTTAATACCGTTAAATGGCCATTCATGAAACGTCATGTATCTGCATTTACGAATGTGGCTTGTAAAGTTAACAATATTGCTCAAATCCACTGCTTAATTTTATGAACCTCATATGGTCTCCTCTTAACACCGTAGAGAAATGCCTGGATTTCCGTACACGGAAAATATACAGCTTGTAGTTTTGAAACCCTGAATGCAAGTGTAACAGCAAGTCGGGTTCAAAATTATTCGGGAATGAGAAACGTTTTTTTAAAACCGAATTATACTCTTCCTTTAAGGATGAAATTGGAAGAAGACGTGATTTTCTACCAAATAAGTAAAAGAATGAATATTTTTTTGCATGTTTTCCACGAAATATATTTGACTTTTCAAGGGCATCAAAAATCAATTAGAAAATTGCATGCTAATTAAGTACTCATTTTTGCAGAGTATGGATCTTGCATGCAGCCGAATATAAGTTTTTTCGATATCCGACACCCAGGGGTAACTGGATCATTATGGATTTATGCTGCATCGTGATTAGTTTAACAACACTACTTAATTGATCTTTTCGAAACGAGAACGCATTTTGAAATTTTGGTTGAAATTTCATGAGTTAGCACATCTACTGTAATTCACAAGCAAGTGCCTGCTCTCACCCGGCCGTGGAGCACACGGCGAACACCGCCGAATTCGATGGCCAAGCTGTCACCACGTAGACTGACGGAGCAGTAGGATTAAAAAGGCTCAGGCGAAATATTTGACCTTGAGATATTGAGGTTCAAATATTGTCGTATGATGGGCCTCCAAAAGTGTACGTGCCACAAGGAAATCCCAACTATTGAACACTTTGTGTCAAATGGAAGAATATCTGCTGGTAAATTCGCCGCTAAAACGAATGTTAGCACCAAAATACGACATAATTGAGCATTCACGCAATCTCTGTCCGGTCCTCGGGTATGTAGACGCGGCTTATGAAAACTTCGAGCTGCACCGTCACATCAAAATTTTGTCAACTTCTTCAGAGTATCACATATGAGAACCGGTCCACGCGAACATCACTCGTAGGCCAGGAGATAGTGAGATGTTCACGGGCCCAGCGAACAGCGTTTTAACGGACAAACAATAATGCGATTTGTCCCTGACGTCTTCGCGTCAAATTAACAATTTCAGCATTATGTTCCAAAAAAATCTTGTTTATCGATCTGCAAACCGGAGGTATTATGGCGGTTTGAGTAGTGGGTGTCCAGAGTTCATGGTTCCCCCATAATGACAGTCGACTGATACTCCTATAACGCGTCACGCGGAGTCCTCAATTTTTGTAAGTTAATTGGAGCTACAGTCAGTGGCCGATCTCATGAAATTATGTCCGTAAATCTGAAATTTGTTTTCAATTAGGAAGGATTATTAAGGTGGGGCTGTCGTATTAAGCATCGCGCGGAATAATTCCATAATATTTAAAAATTGCTATAATGTTGGCTTTTGAATGCACTTTGTTTTGACTCTATGAAAAAACCGCGGCCGACGCAAAATGATTACTTATACTCAGACATTTATTTTAGCTGGCCTTGCAAATTCAAATATATTTTATGAAAAACATGTACCAACATCTGCTTTCTTTTACTCAGTTAGTAAAAAATCTCGTTCTTTTTGCGCTGCATTAGCGTTTAAAAATTTTAATCTACCAGGTATTCCCATTTTGCGTGGAAAAAATCGCTTATTCCATAATGCCTTGGAAAAGACACCGTGCAAACTTCGAAAATTTTGCAGTGCATGCGGACTGTGTTGTATTTTTCATCAGCGGACAGGTACGATGCTGCCTGAATGAACATTGCACAGCCTTAAACATCCCATAGTTAGAAACATTCTAATGCCGAAGGGCACTCTTCCTCCGCATATGTGATTGCCCATCAGATGAGTGAAAGAAAGCAGATTTTGTTAACGTTTTCTATAAAATATATTTGAATCCAAAAGGCCCATAAAAATAAATTTGAGAAATGTTTGCTACTTATAAGGTCATTTTTCACCGAGTGCAGTTTTTACGAAACGCAGGGTATTCAAATGCCATCATCCTAACAAGTCCGAAAAATCATGGGATTATGCCGCGTGGTAGTTACTACGACGACCCACTTAAGTGATCCTTCCTAATCAAAAAGGCATTTCAGAATTTCGGCCAACATTTCACATGAGATTGGTGGGGAGACAGCTTGTGTCTAAGGACGCGTTTCATTTCCAGGGAGTCGGTGTGGCCGCCACCAGAGCGTGTGCTGATGATATTAGGTCACGTCTGAGAGAGGGCGGGGCAGTGGCCAGCAGATTCAGGGGTCTTTGCGTACAAGCGGCCTGTATCATTCGAGGGGAGTGAGGTGTTCAAGTGGAGAATGAAGGTCTGTGGCCGTCTGGATACGCACGCGTGCAGTCGCATTTCAACCGCAATCATCCTCGTTACTCACGACCGTACCCGCCTCCTTCCCCCCTGACCAGTTCGCCTTCTCTATCTCCTCCTTCTCCATTTCTTCTGGCTTTGCCTCCTCCTCCTCC